AAGATTATTGTTTTGTACACTTTAATTTTCAGGTTCTTAGAAATCAGACGGGAAGACAAAATATTTTGAACTGAGAAGTAGCAAGCATTTCCAGAATTTAATCTCCTCCTAACTTCCTCATGAATGTCATTTTGATTTGTTATTGTTGTTCCCAGATATTTGAACTCTGTAACCCTTTCAAAGGACTTATTAGCTACCCTAAGATAATTTTGCTCTCCTGTCTTCTGATGACGAGATACTAACATGTACTTAGTTTCTTTCTGAATTTACTTCTAGCCCCACCTGTCTACTAGCCTCTAGTAAAACTTCTGTGTTCCTCTTTATTGTATTCATATCATCCCCCAATAAATTAACATCATCAGCATATGCCAATAGCTGATGTGTCCCGTTCAATTGCAAACCCTCCTGGCTATCTTGGACTTTCCTGATAGCATATTCTAGCGCAAAGTTAAAGAGCAATGGAGACAAAGCATCTCCTTGTTTTAGACCATTCTTGATGAAGAATGTCTCAGATACATATTTACCTACTCAAATTTTGCTACAGGTTTCATTTAAGCACATTGCTAATAAACATTTCAGGAACATAAAGATGGATTATCAGAAAGATAAAATTAATGAGCTAGCGACACATTGTAAGAATGCTTAGAGACTTATACACAGGTATAAATGAATTTAAGAAGGATTACTAAGAAGATGGGTCATTGCTGTGAAAACCTCAAATCCTACAAGGGTTACCAACTTCAGCGCAACAACCCAGAAGACGGAAATCTTCATACTCACTGCTGTGAAAACCTCAAATCTTACAACTTAGAAGTAACTTGGTAAAGGATGAGAATGGTGATCTCCTTGCAGATTCCCACATTTTGAATAGGTAGAAGAATGACTTCTCTTGATTGTACATGGGTTAGTGATATTAGGCAGATGGAAATATATACAGCTGGAATTGCTATTAAAAATTTGAAATGGTATAAATTGCCAGGTAGTGATCAAATTCCAGTACTGATTCAGGCAGGAGATGAAACAATATGTTCTGAGATCTATAAACTCCTTAATTCTATTTGGATTAAAGAAGAATTGCCTCAGAAATAGAAGAAATTTATTATTGTATCAATTTACACGATGGGTGATAAAGCTGACTATAGTAATTGTCAAGGCATATCACTGTTATCAACTTCATACAAAATTTTATCCAACATCCTTCTGTTAGGGTTTAGTCTATATGTAGACAGAATTATTGGGGATCATTGTAGGTTTCGATGTAATAGGTCAAGTACTGATCAGATTTCTATATTCATAAGATACAAGAGAAAAAATGGGAGTACAGTGAGACAGTACATCAGCTATTCATAGACTTCAAGAAAGCTTATGATTCTGTTAGAAGGAAAGTATTGTATAATATTCTCATGGGGTTTGTAAACTCATGAAACTAGTTAGGCTTATTAAAATGTGTTTAAATGAAACCTGTAGTAAAGCCTGTATAGGTAAACATTTTTCTGATGTTTCCTCTTCAAAATGGTCTAAAACAAGGAGATGCTTTATGATCATTCCTTTTCAACTTTGCTTTAGAATATGCAATTAGGAAGGTCCAAGAAAACCGGGTGGGACTGAAATTGAATGGTACAAATCAGCATCTGGTATATACTGATAATGTAAATCTATTGGGGGGTAACGTAAATACCATAAAGAAAAACACAACCTCTAATTGATGATAGCAAGGAGGTTGGTATATAAGTAAACACAGAAAAAACTAAGTATATGTTGATGTCTCATCTCCAGAATGAAAGGAAAAATCATAACACAAAGACAGACAATAGATCCTTTGAAATGTGGCAAAGTTCAGATATTTGGGAGTGACAGTAACAACTCAAAATTTGATTTATGAGGAAATTAAGAATGGACGGAATTCAAGTAATGCTTGCTGCCATTCAGTTTAGAACCTTTTGTCTTCTCATCTGCTGTGTGAAAAGGTAAGGATTAAAATATATAATTTTGCTTGTAGTTTTGTATGGGTGTGAGACTTGGTCTCTGACAATAAACAGGGTGCTAAAGAGAATATTTAGATATGAGAGGGATGAATTACTAGGAGGCTGGAGAAAGTTGCATAATGAGGAGCTTCATAAGTTGTACTCCTCGCCAAGTATAATTAGACTGATCAAGTCAAGGAGGATTAGATGGGCAGGGCATGTAGTGCACATGGGAGAGGAAAGGAATGCAGATAGGTGTTTGGTGGTCAAAGCAGAAGGAAAGAGACCACTAGAAAGACTTAGATGTAGGTGGAAGGATAGTGTTAAAATGGTTCTTAGAGAAATAGGATTGGTTGGTATGGACTGCATTCATCTGGCTTAGGACAAGAACCAGTGGCAGGCTCTTGTGAACATGGTAATGAAACTTTGGGTTTAGTAAAATGTTGGAAACTTCTTGAGTTGCTGAGTGACTGTCGGCTTCTCAGGAAGGACTCATATATTATATTTGATGGCATCTAAGCATCAATATAGTGTGTTTTTTCCTGGAAACCTATTACTAAATCAAGGGTGCATTTACAGTTGATGGTGTCTTAAAATCGAGGAAGTATGGTATTTATGCATGTATTGTCTGGTCACTGGATATATAATTATTGCTTAAAAATTAATTTATCACTTATTTGAAACACAATTTGTGTAATGAAAGATTTTCAAAGAATGGATCCCTTTCATAAAACAAAGAGTATACATTAGTGTCATAGATCTTTGTAATCACATGGGTAACATAGTCAAAGGTCTTACGTCTTGTTTAATGAATGTAGCTTTAGGAATTACTTTTCTTCTGTTGCATCTCTTATGTACAAGCATTTCTGTTTGTTACAGCCCATCTCCTGCTACCATTGGCATTACCATGCCATTGGATGAAAAAGACAGAACTGCAAATGAGGATCAAGCAAAGAATTCTGTATCAGTGGACAGTTCACGTCCTGTTACGACTGTTCAGATACGACTGGCAGATGGTTCTCGGCTAGTTGGACAGTTTAACCATTCACACACAATTGCAGATATTCGTAGATTTATCATCCTGTATCCTTTACAAGAGTTTTCTGTGAATAGGGCTATAATATTGTGGAGAGTCAGGCAAGTAGAAATTTTATACTGGTGTTTAAAATAACTGCATGTTAAAAGAATTCAACAAAAACTGTTGAGTCACATGGTCAATCACATGCCATTTCACCAATGCTCCAGTTGCTGCATAAGAATATCAGTCCAGTTTTGTCAGACCTTGAAGTGATTCAGCTTTATTGTTAATTTTTAGCTTACAACTCTGAGCCACGTGGTAAGGTTTGTGGGACTGGAAGTCTGTACAATAACATAGCAAGCTTTATGAGTTGTTCTCAGAACTTTTTCATTTATTTCAGTTTGCCACGAAGACAGAAATATATCTGCTTGAAGTTTACTGATGAAGTGTAACAAGTTTTAGTAACCATTTTACTTCTAATTCATAAGATGTTACTGGCTCTAAAAATAATGTTAAACATGTCCACCCCTGCTGTAGAGCAGTGTTCTATGCCTGATGTGCCGCAGATATTTATAAGAAATTTTATATTTGCGTGTTATAGTTCTTCTCTGGCCTCCTTTAAATATGCCTCCAAACTTGCCTATATAGAGATTCTCTTTTCCAGTTTCTCACTTTCGAGATCTTCCTGCTGTCTGTTTCTACTGTATTAACCCATCTTTTCCTTGGTTTACCTACAGACCTCTTTTCAGTAATGTTGCTTTCCGGAATCCTTTTCGGTATGCGTTTTCCATTCATACTCTGGACAAGACCTGCCCATTGTAGTCTTATCAGTTTAATAGTATTTCATATACGTGGCTCATCAAATTGATTATATAATTCAATGTTATATCTTTTCTCCCTGTATCATTTTCTTTCATTGGGCCAAGTATTCTTCTTTCCTTTCAAATGCATCCATTGCTGATTCTGACTTTTTGGTTAGGGTCCAGCTTTTACTTGCATAACATAACACCAGTTTTATCACTATCTTGTACAGCCTTATCTTTGTTTGTCAATGTATTACTCTAAATCTCATGATGGGCAGCAGTGTTAAATACACTCTATTTGCTTGACCACTTTATCTTAGGATCTAATGCTCCTCGCTAGCATTTGCACATAGATTTTGTTTCCCCCATTAAAGTTATACTATGGAACTGCTTATCTGCCCTTTGGCTCTGAATCAATAGTTTTTTATTTGCACTAATTTCTAAGCCCATTTCCTTTGCTGCTATATATATTTCCTTCACATTTGACAAGAACTGGGGGATAACAATGTCATCTGCATAGGCAAGAATCTGTGTAGATTTGTATTCTATCATCCCTTCCAGATCAATGCTTAGTTTCCTTAAAATAAATTCCAAAGCTAAATTAAATAGCAGGGGAGTGAATCCACCTCCTTGTTTTAATCTTTCTGTAGCTATTGAATCTGTTAACTCAGTCTGTACTATCACCTGGCTCTTTGTACTTGCCATTGTAAGTCTTATCAGTCTAATTATTTTAACTGGTATATGAAAATGGAACATAGCTTCATATACTTTTTCTCTGTTAATATGACATAGGCCTGTCTGAAATTTATGTATATCTGAAACAAGCCCACATTATGTTCCCAACATTTTTTCAGATATCTGTTTCATAGTAAATACGTATATGGCACGTGGTAGATCTACCTTTCTTAAATCCCAGATATCTGTTTCATAGTAAATACGTATAAGGCACGCGGTAGATCTACCTTTCTTAAATCCCGTCTGATACTCCTGGATCACTTGCACAGCAACAAGTTTTCCTTTTAAGTAACTATTTTATATATGGTAGATGGAAGAGAGATTGCTCTATAATTATCACACATTAATTTGTCCCCTTTCTTATATATGGGGCAGATTATACTATTCTTCCAGTCACGAGGCATTCCCTCTTCATTCCATATCTTCCATATGAGCCGGGGCAATGTTTGCATTAAGGATTCTCCCCCATGTTTCAAAAGCTC